AATATTATTGTTCCTTGAATTTGTTTTGGTAAACAATTGAGCTTGTCAACCGATATATGCGCCAGTCACCCTTCAAACCGGGTTAAACATCGAAATTTGAACCGGTAACATCGAGTCACACTGTGTATGAACTCTGATCCCTTGGAGAACTTCCTCCCTTCAAGGCAGAGAGCCATTCTAAAGTGCAAACTCTTGGCCAGGGGTTGCTGTCCCAAACCAGACGAGTCCAAACCACCCTTACCCCACACTTTTCGTATCCTCCCTTTTAGCCGAGTGCCAAATATTTCACTTGTTTTTCATTTCTGGCTCTCCCATGCTCTCTGTTTGTTTTATTTTGTTCGGGTTTTTATTCTGGATAATTGCCCAGGGGCTTAATTTTCGGTGGTGTGTGCTTTTTTTTTGTTTTGGACAGGGGGAAGCGGCACATATGCGCCTACCACCCACCATACCACCGATTTTCCCGCCCACACCTCGATGTTGCCCTTCAATGGCTTTCTGTTGTTTCGGAGTATGCGAAAATTAACTGGTAAAATGTTGGCCCATCAACACAGGGGTAACTCAACATTTTCCAATTAAAAAAGTCACCCAACTCCCACTTCTTTTTTTTTACCTCCTGGTGCAGCAATGTTGCAACACCATTTCCGGGTAGAAAAACATGAAACTACAAGTGCGTGCTTTTGAATGAAGGTTTTTCCAGGCGGAATTCTATGACGTAAGCGGTGGGTTTTTCAGGGGGGAGCGCTTGGCGGAGCGGAATGGGAATGATGGGGAAAAACTAGGTCAAAATTCTTGGGCCAAGATGTTGCCGCGGGGCGTGGCTGCGAGGGGCGCCTAGATCTTCTTTAAAGCGCTGACCTGATTTTTTATCCGTCTCTAAAATGCAAATGCCTCGTTTCATTTTACTTTTGTTTATTGCGGCTTCCATTATGACTTGTGTCTTTTGTCAATGCCCAAAATAATAGAAAGATAGATGGAAAGAAAAAGTCAAGCAATTCGTTTCAGTTCGGTTCTAATACCGAGTTGATTGTTCTGCGCGGGTTATTAATTCATCGGCAGCTTTCACTGCTGCCGATGGTTAATTGATGGATTCTATGCCAGTGCGGTTTTCAAGGTTCCCGAATATCGATTTATCCATGGGAGATATTTTGCGGAACGAGTTTATTACATTTCGACGCCAAGTGCGTTGACCTCTTCTCACAGCTCACTGTTTTTCTTAACCTTTTTTTTGGCTGCTTCCAAAGCAATTGCCTCATTACGCAAATGCCCAATAAACGATGTGGCCAATATCAATTCATGGCCGTTCGGTCAGAAAAAGGACGGGCAGTTCGATTGGTTTCCAATGGAGCAAGCTAAGTGCAAAAGGGGGGTACAACTGCTTTTGCGAACAGCCCTCGTTGGATGGAGGAAATGGGCAAACTGTGCTCGTAAGGAAAAAGGGGGAATATTCGCATTGATTTTCCCACCAAAAGAAATAGAAGTGGTATCTGTGGGATACACGTGTGCCTGCACTTGATTTACGAGCTGTAACCGTAATCGTATCTATATCTGTATATCTGTATCTTCTTCTTTTCCGGTCTTGCAGATCTCACCCTTGAAAAGGCCAAACACTGGAAGCGAATTTTCCTCCACAGCAGAAAACCGAAGAGAAACGTGAAAGCTGAAGCAGCAGCTAGGAAAACAACGGAAACCAAATTGCAATGACGTAAGTTTACACGACCAGAACATTTGACAGTGAATAGATTCAATCACTTACTTACGTATCCGCCAGATACAAGTTATGTTGTCAATCGCTTGTGAAGGACATTTCAATTAGGCAAACGACAATTTCTGACTTTCATTCAAATTGAGTTCAATTCACATATTTGCTTCGCATTTTCTGAAAGTGTGATTGCCACCTTAAAAGTGTTTCTCTATGACATTTGTGGGTACAACTTTTTGGCAGAAAGTTGCATACTATTTATAAGTTAGTAATCTAAATAATAAATAAATGTTAGGCATCGGATATTTTTTATTTTCGTGTTCTCCATCGAAATTGCATGCTTCTGTTACTTCGTTTTTTTGTATTAATAATCAAGAGACAATTTTATGCTTTTATTCAATTGAGTTGTAATTCCCTGGCCTTCTCCATAACTTTATTTACTTGACACCTCAAAATTGATGACTGCGAAATTTATGGGTCGACCTTTTTGGAAGCTCATTTGCCAGAATTTATGGCTTACCCAAACCCAGTTCCTTGGGCATGGGGGGTTAATTTTCGGAAAGTGGAGCAGCTAGCTGCTCGCTTATTAATCCCCATAATTTGTTTGGTCTAAAAGCGGGGTGCGGCTTCCCATTTGGGGAGTTTGCTTGCTGAAAAGCTGGTAGAACACCATCCCCTTACGATAAATGAATTGTGAATAAGCAAAAACGTTGCAAGTTTGCGTTTATTTAGTTTTTCTGCCGCTTTTTTTTTGGGCGTGTCATCATTAAAATGTTGTCTCCAAGGAAATCCGGTCAGCTTACCCAGCGAGTGCTTTAAACTTAATTTGTGCGCAGTTTTTCCCCTGAATTTGTCCAGTTGAAATTCCGCCGCTCAATGGGTAACATTTGTCCCACGGAGCCGCTCGATGGAAGTCTTCCGAATAGGTGAGGAGCAGATGCATCTGGCGCCTGCTTATTAAATGCGTCTGTTTCTATCAGTGAAGTGCTCCCTAATTGCAGTACCATAATTGCCGGCTTATCGAGTGCATTAATCAAATCGAATTTCAGTAAAAGAACCGTTTTCGAAAAATCCAAAATCCCCCAAGAAAACTTCCTCTGTTTACCGGTACAAAATCAAACGAGTTCTGAGTTTACCCGGGCATATTTGTGTTTGAGTTTAAGTCACCACGAATGTGGATATACATACGTAAATATGAGTGGCTCGTCGGAATCCGAAGCTAATCCTTTTGGCTTCGAGCTTGATTGAAGTCGGTTTCCATAAGCTGAATGGATCCCAACATATCGTCACCTGTGCCCGTGGATAAGAAGGTCTGCGATGAGGTGCTGCAGTGTGACCCAAATCCGGGCTTTTGTCAGGCTTTATGAGTGACTAGCGGACTGAGAAAAAAGCTGGTGCACAAACAGGATATCTTGAAATTAATTGTTAAGAGAAGTGAATGGCATCATCGTTAGGTTGTATATTTCAGCTTGAACATTCTCAAGCGTAAACAAGTTTGTTTAGAACTTCCTTTCTGAAATTTTTGTTTGCATAGGTACAGAAAAAAGAATATAACAAAGCATATAAACATTCTTGCAAAAACGCTCTATTTCCCAACACCATAATTAGGTGTCTATGGCAGAAGACACATAATTTAGAAAAATGTTAGAACCGCGTGAGCACAGCTTTTCTCCCAGTGCAGCCGGGGCAGGAAGCGCTCCTCCCGTGACGAGTTCATCGCGCAGTGATATTCGATATTGATTGAGACCCCCACTTGTCCCCCAGCTCCTCTCGATGTTTGCCATGGGCAAACTGTTTTGCGTCTCCTGACTGCCTGGCAACCTACTTTGTGACTCCGCTGCTCACATGTGTGGGCCCTGTTTGTTTTTATGCTTTTTTTTTCAGTCCGCTGTCTGCCTGCGGGTCTTTATGGACAGCCATATGGATTATAGTACTCGCACTCGTAGTGCCCCTTGGAAAGAATATTTAGTTGCCAAATCATTTAAGCCGCGGCACACGCTCTGGTCCAAAAAAATCTAAAATCCGAACTGAACTGAACTGAACCATTCTGACAGAGCCATTAAAGCTAGCCGGTAATCGGTTGGCTCAAATCAGAGATCGGTGAACCACCAACAGCCACTACACAACCACTTACAATGGGCCACAATAATGTTAATTGGAAATTACGTTTAGGAATTGTTGAGGGGCAAGAAACCGAACCAAAATGAAACATAAGCCAGCCAGACAGAAACAGAAACAGCGGCTCAGATCTCTGGGAGTTGAGTGCTCCAAGTTGGGATAGACAATGTTGTATATGAATTTTTCATAACATGCTACAAGCTGGGCTCCAGGTTTTCCACCCCCCTCGTTTCCCGCCGCAGTCGCCGCTTTTCGCCGCCAAAGAACAGTTGAAATGGAGGAAACAAAAAGCGCAGTGGGGAAAAAAATACTTGTAATAGTCACTCGAGGGGGAAATATAAATTATTGAGCTCGTTTCTTAAGTAATTATCGCACTGACGGACGGAACCAACTCACTGAATCACAAACACTGACCGAATGACTAACTGGCGGATGGAGAGACTGACGAACTGGTTAAACGACGGTCACGAGACGTCGGCGAGGCTTCAAGATTGCCGTCAGAAATGCCCCAGGCGCAACTTTGTAAGTTTCCAGGGCTTATCGCATACCCTGCAATGCTGCATGAGAAAATTACGAAGGAACTTGCACCACTTTAAATCGTTAAGAGATGATTTAGAATGATCTATTAGCAGGCACTTACTCCACACTCCACTCCATAATTGTATCTCAGTTCGAAGTATGCTTCTAGTCATTTTTAGGATCTACCAATCCTTTTAATGCTTGAAATGCAAGAGTTTACATTATGTTTGGAGTATCAAAATAAAAACGCCTCTCTAAAAACATAATCATCCGAAATCGTGTAAAAAGAGAACGTTTCTTCACAATAGGTTCTATGCAGACTACTTCCCCTGGTCTTTTAATTGTCATGCCATTTGGGGATCGGATCGTCTGCAGCGACTGTGAGCCAGGCTGTGGTCTCCATCTACCTGGCCATTATGCTCGGTTCCCAGCTCGGGGTCACTCCAGCTGAACAGCCATAGCACATCTCATCATTTCTCATTATTTTATTGACTTTGAAGTGTAATTATTTGCCTTTTAGACGAATTCAAAGCGCAGCAGCCGCTAAAATGAGAGGAAAATACAGATTGTGAGCCGATACTCAGTTTCTCGCTCACGTCTTTTCTGCTCATTCGCCTTAAGATATTTTTTTTCTCGGCTTTTGTTTGTCTTGGCCTCGACTGAGCGACCGTTTCGGTCTCCGAGACTCTGAGACTCAGTCGCGATCTCGGTCTGGATCTTGGATTTAGTCTCCAGCGGGTCTTGAGTGCGTTCAGACGTGTGCAGCAGAGATCTTGGAACGCCGAACGGCGAATGGTGATCGGTGATCGGTGATCAGTGACCAGTGACCAGTGGGCAGAGAGCGAATAGCCAAGATTCAAGAGCCTAGGCAAACATAAATTCAATACATCCGATCCGACCGTTCGGTTTCATAGTGTGCTTAAGTGTGGGATCGATCGTGGGATCTGATTAGTGTCTGCGACGCCTCTGCAAATATTGGCCAACGGTTAATGGCCATGAAGAAGCTCTATGCGAAGACCTCGTTCACCAGCAAGAAGCCATCGAGTGCCGCCAATTCCTCGCCGATATTGGCCTACCACCACCACCACCAACAGCAGCTGCAGCAGCAGCCGGGCAATGGCATATGCGAGTTCCAGGTGGCACCTGGTCACTCCGGCGAGCTGATACGCCGCAGCCAGAGTATGCACCACAAGTTGTCGCCTCCAGTCGGGGGCTTGGGCTCCAAGTCGGAGTACTACAGCATAGAGGAGCTGCAGGAGCTGGACTTGCTGGACTATCGTCATCCCATGTACCATCACTACCAGCAGCAGGAGCTGAGGCAGCGCTACCACGAGCACGAGCAGTTGGTGCTGCAGTTACCCAAGGCTAGTCCAAAGGCAGGACCCATCTACGAGGCACCGCAGAGATCTCAGCAGCAGCAGCAGGATCAGATGTTGTATGTACCAACGGCAACTCAAAGAGATTCACCAAGTGCAGCCACATCGATAGCCAGTTCATCTACCCTAACTTCGTCCCCATCCTCCTCTTCATCTCTGATCTTTTCCACTTTGCGCAAATGCGTTTCGCCCTCGAATCCCTCGGTGAATCCGAACCCACCCTCGAAAACTCAACCCTCCAAACTGGGCTGCTCCATGTCGTTTTCAATTAGAACGACAACGGCAACAGCAGCAGCAGCGGCAGCATCAACACTATCGACACAACAACCACATCAGCAGGCACAGCAGCAACACAAGCAACATCTCTATAGCAACATACATCATTATCTGATTCGACAACAACAGCAGCAGAAACAACACCACACATTACAACGTCGCCATAATTCGGTCAAAGATAAATTCATTGGGGGCATTACAACGATTTTTGCGTATGTGTAACCCACTTCCCTAAGCGTCTGTCCTTGGGTTCTGTAGTAATCCCCTATTTCCCCCACTTTTCTCCACTATATTTCCCCAATCTCAGCACGTAGTACTTGGCCCTGGACTTTTGAATGCGTCTTTCAGTTTGACAGCCGCTTGGTGCGATCGTTCGTAAATCAAAGAACTTAAATCTTGACGCCACAAAGCAGCATTCGTCGTACTCTCCGTTTAATCATAATTATAATTTAACGCCAATTAAGCTGGAAAACGCTAGCGTGTGCACACGAATCTGCATCTTGCACTCAGCTGCAGTTTCAAAACTTCAGCTTAACGCACGAATAAATCCCCAAGGCATGGAAAATTTCACCTGCCACATATTGAAAACGCTATCAAAGCGATTTTCCAGTGGCTCAATTATAGGCATACCCTCAGCATCCCATTTAAAAGGCCATTTGCGGGGCACATTTCGATTTTCATTTGGGTTTTCCAGTCAGCTGCACAGCGCAAAAAAACGATTAAGACGCAGTTTGAACTGAATTATTTAATTGCTCTTATATTATGGTAAATATAATAATCGTTTCATTTTACGGTTTAGTCATCGCTACTTCAATTCATTTCCAGCCATTTACTATCTAATGTATTTAAAAACATATTCAATCGTAAGATAGTAGCTTAAATTTTGGAACTAGCACGTTTATACGTGTAAAATCGAATAAATGCATTTATTTCTGAATGGAGCAGTAGTGAGTCACAAAATGCATTACTAATTCCAACTACTGAACTAATTTTACAGCCCAGCAAGTTGAAATGTACATGTGCATTAAAGTTGTTAAAAAGAGTACAACACTTTTACCAATGGCAATGTTTCTGATCATTCCGACTTCCTATAATTATATTTGGATATGTAGTATCCAATTTATGAGATTGAAATCGATTCGATTGTAAAAACAGAAATTCAAAAAACTGATTGACCGCTATTGTTTCGCTGTTTCTCAGAGTGTGCAGAAAAAACTTCACTTTCGTTGCCACGAGTTTCGATGCAAATCAAAGCGGACAGGCTCATAAGACTTGGCTACGATCTGTCGCTGGTTGGTGGTTATATAAGGCCCTGAAACGGCGCACAGCTGTGCCAGCCAGACTGCGCACTCGGATTCGGATTCGGATTCGGATTGAGATTCGTCCGTCTGTCCGTCGAGCGGACGGCGATCTGCGCACTCCATTTAAGTGCAAAACTACTTGCGGCTTTTGGCCGGGCCAAGTCTGAGGCGAGAATTCTGCAGACTCGACTCGTTTGGCTTGGCGGCTGCTCTCCGTCATTATCTCTCTGTCCCCCAGTAACACACAACTCGGAGCAACTTGGAGCAACTCGGGGCAACCCAGGCAACTTGAAGCGTTGCAGGCTAGCAAGAAAAAAGAAGAAAAAAACGGAGCCATAGGATAGAAAGAACACGGAGCCAAGTTGAGCAAAAGGCAAGCCAACTCGTCATCGCCTTTGCATTTTTCCAATGAAGGCGTTCATTTGTTGCTGGCCATGTTTACTTCTCTCGCTGACTTTAATTGTCAACTGAGTGTCCGGGGGAAAAAATGCTAAAGGTTGAGCGCATACACACGTTCATATTAGAACTTTCATTAGAATCATTTAATCGGTCCGTGCGACTCGAGACGATCATCTAGCTGGATGACAGGTGTGCGCGCATACAAAGAAATGCATTGCACTTCCTGTCCTGGAACTGGTGGGATTACTGGACTGGTGGGGGGTACAAGGCATAGATCAAAGCCCTTACTCGAATCGTGTGAAAAGTCTGGAAGACCACAGTGGACTGAAGTGCAGTGGAATGGGTTTTCAAGGGGAAGCACTATAGAGCCGATCTAATGATCTGAAAACGATTGCTCACTGCGACATTCTTTCTGGGAAGCCCTAATCGAGTCCAAGAAGTTTATGACGGAAAATCGATTTCTTTGAACACATATCTAACATAAAATATATAGTATCTTTATGCTGAAAATACTTTGACATGTCGCTATTTTTAAAGCCAATTTGTTCAGAACTTTACTGCCAATCAAACGACTGCCATAAACAAAATCGTATCTTTTTTTGAACTCGTTTAGTGCAAATAATAAAGTTGCCAAGTTTGGCTATATTGTTAGCACAACTTCCGTTTCGATTCCCACGATCTTTTGGGCCTTTAAAGAGCTATTAAAAGATACATGAAGAGGCGAAAATGAATGTATGTTGATGGTATTGAACTGTAAGAAATCAAAATGGAAATGCTATATATGTTTCTCGCACATTTTCTTATCTTCCTCTCAAGGCAATGGCTATTCCCTATAATCAACTTTAGCAGGAACTTCTTGAAGTGTTTTTTCCACATCATTTCCATACACATTCGAGCTTCCTACATACCATTCAAATGACCCAACTAACCACGATATCTACATTTTTTCCTTGCAGTGAGCAGAGTATTATTGGGGCGCGGGCCTCTGTGATGGTGTACGATGACAACCAGAAGAAGTGGGTGCCCTCGGGCAGCTCGTCGGGATTGAGCAAGGTGCAGATCTACCACCACCAGCAGAACAACACGTTCCGGGTGGTGGGCCGAAAGCTGCAGGATCACGAGGTGGTCATCAATTGCTCCATTCTGAAGGGACTGAAGTACAACCAGGCCACGGCCACCTTTCATCAATGGCGCGATTCGAAATTCGTCTACGGCTTGAACTTCTCGAGCCAAAACGATGCGGAGAACTTTGCAAGGGCCATGATGCATGCCCTGGAAGTGAGTATATCTTCGGCAAACCAATCTGTTATCATTCGCTAATATCTGAATGACTTTCTCAGGTGCTCAGTGGTCGCGTGGCGAACAATCCAGGTGGACCGCCCACAAATGGCAATGGCTATGAGGAGGACATGGGCTATCGCACGATGACCAGCGAGGATGCAGCCATTCTGCGCCAGAACAACAGCATAGGTGGGCACGTCACGCCCTCGGCCCAGACGCCCACCTCGCAGACCAACCAGAACAACATCCCCCAGAGCCCGCCGACGCCCCAGGGTCACCATCGCACCAGCAGGTAGGCCACATTTCCATTAATTGTGTTGGATACGGCATGCTCATTGCAATGGAAAACCCGATTAGCTTAGGCTCGATAGATGTAACTATTCAAGAAATATTTAATTTTATGAGAACAAGCGGTAAAGTCATTAGTACACGTTAGTCGGAACATCACTTTTCTTTGAACATTGTAAGCAGAAAATCCGTGGTTGTTATAAATCAATCCCAATCCTAAGATCAAGAGTTTCGTAGTAGAATGAAAACGGCAAAGCATTTGCTAATTAGTCTGCAGATAAATATTCATTACCGAGCATTATTCGATTGCGTAAGTTAGGAACAATGTATTTGTCATCTCACGCATGAGCAGTAGCTTCCAACTCTTTTGTGCGAGTTCGTGTCTCATCGCTCATATCATTGATATCATTGATCCATCCCCATCCCACGCCGAACCTTTGCTCACCCAAAAAGGAATTCCCTCAGCGCCCCACCGGCACCACAGCCCCAACAGCAGCAGCAGCAGCAGCAGGCGCAGCAGATGGGTCAGCCGGGATCCCACTACGGACCCACTGGCAATGGACCCACTTCGAATGGCCTGCCCCAGCAGGTGAACTCACAGATTCCGCCGGCACCGCAGCAGCAGCCGCAACAGCAACAGTTTCAGCAGCAGCAGCAGCAGCAACAGCAATATCAGCAGATGGTCCAGGTCCAGGCGGGCTATGCGCCTTCTCAGGTGAGTTGCTGGATGCTCTATAGCCTTACCCCGTCCCATTTTCCTCATGCGGTATTTCTGTTTCATTTCATTGGCATATTGGCATATTGGCTTGATCCTGAATCTGAATCTCCTGAAAACCCCGACACACCACCACACCCCAACAGCAGTATCAGCAACCCCACTACGTGCTCTCCAATTCTAATCCCAATCTAACTGTGCACCAATACCCGTCACAGCAGGCGCAGCAGCAGCCGCCGCAAGCGCCACAGCCGCCGCTCCAGAACGGTGGAATGTACATGGTGGGCCATGGTCATCTTCCGAGCTCCGCGAGCGCCAACAGTGTTGTGTACGCCAGCCAGCAGCAGATGCTGCCGCAGGCGCATCCACAGGCACCTCAAGCGCCGGCGATGCCAGGTCCGGGCTACGGAGGTCCACCAGTGCCTCCGCCCCAGCAGCAGGCAGAGAATCCGTACGGACAGGTACCCATGCCGCCGCCAATGAATCCGTCGCAGCAACAGCAGCCAGGTCAGGTGCCTCTAAACCGGATGAGCAGCCAGGGCGGTCCGGGTGGCCCACCGGCTCCTGCTCCGCCGCCGCCACCACCCAGTTTTGGGGGAGCTGCTGGAGGAGGACCACCGCCGCCAGCCCCGCCACAGATGTTTAACGGCGCACCGCCGCCGCCAGCCATGGGTGGCGGACCGCCGCCGGCTCCGCCAGCACCGCCAGCCATGGGCGGCGGTCCACCGCCAGCACCAGGCGGCCCAGGGGCACCACCACCACCACCTCCGCCGCCGGGATTGGGAGGAGCGCCTAAGAAGGAAGATCCCCAGGCAGATCTCATGGGCTCACTGGCCTCCCAGCTGCAGCAGTTTAAGCTCAAAAAGAATAAGGTACCATTTAAATTTAATTGATTTATGCATCTTCACTAAACTTTGTGTATTCCCCATTTTGTAGACCACCACCTCAGCTCCGGAGAATAGCGGCAGCAGCACCTCCAGCGGAGGCAGCGGCAACTATGGAACCATCGGACGAAGCTCTAATGGCATGGCCTCCATGATGGACGAGATGGCCAAGACGCTGGCACGACGACGCGCCCAAGCAGAAAAGAAGGATGTGAGTCAACTTGCTTACTTCTTCCATATCCATTATCTTAACTGGTTCGAATTTTGCAGCCCGATCCTGAAGCCGAGGTAAAGAGACGACCCTGGGAGAAGTCCAACACACTGCCCCATAAGTTGAGCGGCGGAGCAGGCAGCGGATCGGCTGGAAATGGTCACGAGGGAGCGAATGGAAACTCGGGCGGCGCTGGAAGCAACACAACGAACAGTGGCGGCGAGTCCCCGCGACCCATGCGCAAACGTTTCGGTAGTGCCAGCGAAGAGACCATTCTCAAGGTGGGTGATGCCGACCATATAGTCGCATTAGAGGTCTATAACCTTTATCCCTAAAGCAGGTCAATGGCGATGGCCTGTCGTTGGCGCTTTCCAACGGCGACTTGGACACACTGAAGGCTGAGATTGTGCGCGAAATGCGGCTGGAGATCCAGAAAGTCAAAAACGAGATAATAGATGGTAGGTGCTATAAGCCTAGGAAGGTTTTCAATGGACACTGATTTTCCATCCACCCTTACAGCTATCAAATCGGAGTTCAATCGCAGATAGATCAAAACGCTGCCACGATAAACGCGAACGTGTACCAGGCTCTATCCAACTCACACCACTGCTGTCGTCCGTAAAAGGACGAAGATCAGGATCAGAATCATGAGGCTGGAGAGGAGCAGGAGCCGGGCGTGTAATGTATTCGATGATCGAAGCTCGCAACATTGCCAGAATGTTGACGATCGATCGACGAAGCGATGGCATGTGCATAGGCATAGATACGCATATTTATGATGCATTTGCTCTAGGTTAACACAAACATCTAGGCTAACACAAACACACACACAAAGATACCGAGAAAGAGAAGAAATTTAGTCAAAGTAATTATATTTTAAAGGGAAGAACTGCTTACCGACTTCTATAAGTTATGTAACTAACTCTGTTGTACATTATTTTGCATAAGTCTATAAGCCAATTTTAGTGTGAGAACAAGAGAATTGCTTGCAATGTTCGGTATATCGTAATCCCCCCTCTTTTTCGTTTGTTTTCCATACCCCACCTTTATCTATTAGTTTGTTATGCTCGCCGGGATTTTTCTATTGTTTCGTACAAAAAAAATCAAAAATGAACAACGTTTGTAATTATACATAGAACGTATCTCTCTAAACACAGCCACAAAAACATGCATATATATATGGTTTAATATATATGGACTACTCATTAACCTAACCTAAAGGGAACTAGTATTACGACTCAAAACGATACAAAAACAATTCCACGAACGTCATCCATCAAAGCTCCTGAAAAAATGGCAAAACTCCACGCATTTCCTACAACAAAACCACAACATTTTCCTAAGCACACGATCTCATACGACTCAATTTAAGAACCAGCAAGTCTTCAGTAAATCAGAAACATAAACATAAACAAAAACAGTTCAAAGCGGAATTGAGCGTGGTGTTCAGGACTCAGATTTAGCTCGAGCAACTTAGCATTAGTGTCACACGAATAATTACTGCGATCCAGCGATCTATACGATCTATACAGCGAAATTAGAAAGCTAAATTAACAATCGACTGCTGCGTATTATACATATTAATAATACTTATAAATATATAAAGGAACGCCCATAAATATTGTACACTCCCCCCAGACTCGGCGGAAATGCCGCTCCTGAACATATGCGTACCAATTCAACTTCCATATACGACTAAGACTAAATAGCGAAATTATTGAATGATAGCAGGCCAAGCAAATCGGAAAAAGGTGGATCAGACAGCGGGAAGAGGATGGTAGGATGGTAGGATGGTGGGACGGTAGGAAGGACTCGAGGCAGGAGCAGAAGAAGGATAAAAAGAGAGTTTAGTTCTTAAGCATAACGAAGTGAAATTGTTTATTAAGTGGACAAAAATTTATTTATACTGAAAAGTGAGAGAGAGAGAGTGGTAGTTGTGTATAATTCGAATACATATATACATTTTAATTTTTTGTAATTTAACAATAATTTATATTGACTGTGCGAGGTTGCGTCGATATATGATTATATAGAGTATATGAAATACCTAGTTATATGGCGGCCACACACACGGTCCGGTGTGTATGTAAATGTTATGATTTTTGTATTTTTATATATGATCTTTGCATTGCAAAAACAATGGAAACAATTTAATATTAAACACACGTAAACTATTTTAAACGAAGCAAGTGAAAATCGATGCGCCTTGCAGTGGGCGCAACTTTTTATGTATTAAATTAAATATATTATACACTTATATACAACCAGAATATTCAATATACATACAAGAGATGAGGAAACGATGTAGCAGCCAGCATTGACTCGAGATCAAAATATATATTAAAAATCAGCAACGGATTCACTTAGATCGGTAAGGGGCGTAAGTTATAAAGCGGCGGCGATCGGGAGACGAAATAGGAGCGCAAAAACATTATATGCATATTCAACAAAGAACGTAAAGTGAAATAAACAGCAACGTTTGTATGTAAAAACCCCACACTTGTTTAAATTTTCTACATTTTTGGTGCAGTTCAACTATACAGCGGCTATTTTTCGGACCAATTCATTTTGAAATCGAATTCAATAATATGAATTTTAAAAATGAAGAGATTTTGCTAGGTTTGCCATGTTCATAAAATCAAGAAATATTTGTGTTCACATTTCGTCGTTCAAAAGTAGCTGATTTTCCGCCAAATGGATTTTTGGGCTGATAATCTTTCATTATTTTTATAGAAACTCCGAAATTAAGAGAAAAAATTTAGTCTTGATCGAATTTCAGCAACCATGTTGCGCAACATTTGCATGGAGCAACAAGTGCCTAAACATTGTTCTCGATACCAATAGGACAAGTATCGATAACCGCCCATGTTCTCTCTTTACTCTTTTAACATTCATGTTACGAACGAATGTTATTCTCTCTTTGACATTCAACGAGTAAGGTTGGTGTTCGTTTCGTTCGCGGATGAAAAATAAAATAGCGGCGGCAATATTTCTTATTGTTCTAGTGCTCAACCGAAAAGAAAAACAGAAATCAAAGAAAAAGGAAACAAAAGAATAAAACGAAAGCACAGTCGTTAGCCGTGTGTTCGTTGTGTATGGGAAATTTGGCAAGAAACCGCAAAAATATTTGTTGTACCGCAGCAAAATATTTAAAAAGCATTGCAGAAATATACAATTTAACATATAAACTGTGCGCGCGTGTTTCTGTGTGTGTGTGCGTGTGTGTATGTGCTGCTTGTTTTACAGAAAACAATTTATTATAATGCCGAACTTTAATTGAAATTAAAGAATGCCGAATGCAGCGTTCTTCATTGATGCTGCAAACAGCTGATTGTTCGCCGCTCTCTCTTCCTCTTCTGCGGTTGTTGTTGTTGTTGTGGCTGGGAAAATTGAAATGTTGACCAAGTTTAAATAGAAAACCACTAAATCGAATGTGTGGCACAGTAAGGTGTCAGTGTAAACTAGTCAAAACTAAATTCGGGTAGTACAGTGTAAAGCGCACAAAGGCCCACAAACAATCTACATAATTTGAATGTTATAATTTCTTATCGAAGGCACTTAAATATCTGAGAAACAATCACAAAAGAAACTTTAATGGGCAAGCGGAAGCAACCCACGACATTGAACTTAAGTTTGAATACAGCACAGGCGAACTTGAATAACTCGATTGTACTTTATTTAAACTTGAGTGGCTTCTACTATTCAGTTTTTGATTATCTGTAACTTGCGTGGCTTCGCATGATTTGGATTTAAATATTGTGGAATTCGTCACGCTTTCAATTATTTTTGGTTGCAAGAAAGTCCATTTAAAGTACAACAAATTCAGATTTACACTTTAGCTTTTAGCATCAAAAGTATTGTTATTGTTTAAAATTCGGCAGTTTTAAACAAAAGTTCAATTGTTTCTATCAATTTTAGTTAATTTTACGGAAGTTTGTAAAATTCTTCACACGTCTACTCGATTTGCCTCGCTTCCCTCTTCGCTTCTCCTTTATCGCCATCTTCGCAACGAACAGAGTGACAACAAAAATACAAAAAGGGGAAGAACAATAACAAACGAAACGAAAGAATTCCATCATCAACGCGAGAAGAGCACGACTATCGTCTATCTCGCTTCAGCGAAATAGATAAATAATTTGAAAAACATTAAGTAATAAAATACGAAACGGCATTATTTTTGAGACAAGAATAATCGGCAGTGTTTTGGTAGAACTTTTTTTCTTTTTGGCACTAAATCGAAATTTGTAGCAATATTATTTGCTAACGTGGCCTTTAAAATTCGGTCAACCGTGTGAGTAGAGCATATAAAAATTCAGTGAAAACACCATTTGTTTACTATGTGTGCCAAGCTTTTCCGCCCGTCACCACCCCCGTTTGCCAACCAACCACCCACCCACCCCTCTCCCTTATCGATTTGCCTTTCGCACAGAGAAATTGCTGGCCCCAAATTACTGGCTCTGGAATTAAATGAAACTTTTACAATTTTCGGCCACCTAACTCACGTGCAAACCATACTGAAACACACGCACCTGAATTCTGAATACCCACCAATATCGCAGGGCTTTTAAGCTTTTTGTCACTAATCAATCACGGGGTATTTGCATTTGCATTTTATAAATATGTTTCCTAACACCTGAAAACAAGTACATTTCCCCGACAAGCCGCGGAATCAGGGCTAAAAAGCATAACATGTGTGGTTAAGGTTACGCTTGTGATTTCTCCCTAAGTAACGCCATCCATTTTTACTTCCACGAACCACACAAATTGCAACACACTCGTCCTGCGGATTCAACTATATTCAACTTTAATTACGTCTACGAATTGCGTTCTTTGATGCGGTAAGTGAAGCAAACCCTGTTCCCAAATAGAAAAACACCCCATCTTTTCGCTGAGCTCAGGGTTTGCCCCATTTGGGCTTGGTTTTTATTCTGGGTGTGTTCCTAATGGCTCTATGAAGACATTCCGGCGATCCTCTGTGCGATAGAGGCCCAAATAGCGTGCTTCGTCCATCTGCAACCCTCGTTTCTAGTTCCGTATCTCTCTACACCCCTGGAAGCCACCCCAAAATGTGGAAACTGTGTCACTGGCTGTTGGCGCTGTTGAAAGCCAGGAAAACTAGGCAAGGGAAAACTTTGCACTGGGAAAAGCATTACGTACTCTTGCATATATTGTTAAATACGCAATAAACGTTTAAGTGTTAATAAATAGCATAACACTTGCAGGTTTTACCCAATTAGATTCATTTAACATTCCTCAAAATGTAGTAAATGCTTTATAGATGAAACGGAAGTATTCAGTTATATGTTTTTGGCACTAGAAAGTAGTTACAAGTCCATTACATTTTATTATCACTTAAGCCTTTCCTATAACAGTTTAAAGTTCATTTTTAGACTGCCACTCTGGATGACTAAACAAAACTTAAGATAATTTTTTGCTCGTGTAACGGGCTGCACTTTCCAACCCCTCCTGGTATTCTCTTCACTCTTTGCTCGCGAACATTTTCTCTCTCACACGGCGCATCCTTTGCCGGTCAAAGCTTTTCCTCTGAACACTTCTGAAAAGCAACTTCCAGGAAAAGGGAAAATTATGTTCTTGGGTAAACAAGCAAATATACCGTGAACTGTGAACACTCTCTACGATTCTGGCCAGATTTGCTTGGCGCTCGGCACGTTGACAAATCAATGCGGGGGCCCTAAATTATTTAGTGGTTGCCCTGGCAACCCTGGCCCTCAAATGGGTGCCCAAACGTGGTCAAAACAATTGGCCCCGAAGTTCAAATACCTTGAGGAAAAGGCTGGTGGCGAGTAAATTGACCGCCAGCTATATTTGCAGGCCCATCATTCAGATAGGGAACGGAAACCCGGGGAAAAATCAATAAGCCGGGAGCAGGCACTTTCCTTGGGCGGAATGTGTAACGCCTTCGCCTGCTTAAAACTCATATTCACAGAGCGAAAATCGATGGGTTCTCGGGACCAGTTTGAATCGATAAACGAGTTTTTGAATAGGCCAAAGTCGAAAGGTTCCGAAACGCGGTTTGTCTGTCTCAGCGAGTTGTGTAAATGGCTGTGCTGCTTTGCTGAGCTGAACTTTGGCTGGCACAAAAGTGAAGCACGCAACTGGCCCTTTCCCCTTTGACCTCTGACGTGGTCTCTTTCAGTTGCGTGCTGACATGCCTTGGGATCAAGCTGCGTATGCTTGATGTCTCTTGTTGCAAATCAAGCATACGCCCTGTCTGCCCCGCCAGCCACTTCCTTTCGCATTTCCAAATTTAGCTCAACCTTGACACTTTGAAATGGCAAACACGTCGGAGTTCGCTCGTTGATATCGATGCCATAGGGTAATAGATTAATCGGGCTCTGTTGAAGTGCCATTCCATTCGGAGGCTCTTCATGCATGGATGACTGATTAGAGCTTTCTCGACGGCACGAGTGCACTTAAATAAATGGGTGCTCCCCATGTAATAACTGCTATGACTGCTGGCAAATGGTATGCAATCAATTCGAAGTGATGGAAAACTTACGTACTTCAAGATCAACTAATTGTCAAGGTCGTGGACAGCCAAATTTAAATACTCTGCCAAGAGTATTTACTGCTGCCAATCAGCAGTAAATTACTTTCGAATCCTAAAACATAAGCTGCCCGCCAGCAGTAAATTACTTTCGAGTAGTAAAACATAACCTATTTTATTAATTTTAGTGCTGTGTGAATCTGAGCCGGCGCCTTATCAATTTGAATTAAACACAAAGACTGAACACTCATTATTCACTGGCATGACATCATGTTCGAGAGTTTTTGGATCTGTTTATTTTATTTTTTATTGATATTTTATTGACCCATTGAGGGAGCAATCAAGATGGCCCGTTGCCGTCTTCATTGCAAGGTGCCAAGATCCATATCGAGTCATAATGCTAATTCATTAATGGCTATTAAATGCGATAAGTGCAAGACTGTGATAAGATAAGGTGACTCAAGTGTGTGTTCCCCGCCTAACTTTTCGTACTGATTTATGTACTCGTATGTCACATATATTACATTTTGGCGACCTTCAGAGCTGTGGTTGGTTCTACTCCGATCGCCGGCTTTCGATCGGATGGGATCGGCTTGGATTGGATTGTATTGGATTGGATTACCCAATCTCTATTTTTAGGTCTGGCGTGGTAACGGAAGTCATTTTCAATATTCATTCGCATTTGAATGTGATTAGCAATGCGCACTTGCATCTCAAAATGTTTGCACACCGAATACCTTGCTGAAAGTACTGAGACCTCAGAAAACAAAAAGTAGGCACTAAGAATACACGGCGGGTGACGCAATTTTCATAGGTTCGCCACTCGGAAGGCGGGGCCATTCAACCCGAAACCTCTGACCCCCTTGGAGGTTTGTGGGGGCAATTAAAACGGAAGTACTGCCAACCTGTTGCCGTTGCCGTTGCCGTTGCCCAAGCTCGTCAAATTCGAGCTTGGGAAGCCAAAGCCACTTGGCCAATAGTTTGCATGTGCCGCACACTTTCGCATTAATTAGCCAGGCCCAGCGGCTCTTCTGGGAATATGGACTATTACCACACGAGCTTGCACATCTTTCACACGGCGGAAAGTGGCTCATATGGGTGAATTATTTCAATGAGGAGTTGGCCGGAGGCACCTGAAAATATGCTAATTAAGAAAAGAGTTTTTGGGTTTAACTTGTAAGTTAATTAGAGAATTAAAGTTCTTGGTTTCTTCGCATCGTACACATGTTAGTTTGCATAGGTAAATTGTACTTGTTGCATTTCGTGTCTCTAGAGCAGTTTTCCCTAATGATGTGTACGCTTTTCCCACACGCCCGTTAGATCGCAGATCTCTGTCAATCAGGGGGCAATGGGAACATGTGTACTACTAGGGCGGCTGCTGCATGCCCCAGGGGGGCGTGGCAGACGGCATTTTCCCCAACGCGATTTGTGTGCGCTTGCCAAGGGCTAAAAATAGCCGCGAGTACTTGTTGCTCTCGTAGTCGCCCTCTCGCTCGCACCTACGTTTTCCTACAACCCCCCGCCCCCACCACATTTTCACGCCCCTCCGCAGCGCCCTTGGTGTCCACATAATGGCGAGGGGTCAATAGACGACGTGCCAGTGGATGAGAATGCTCGAAAAGTCTTTCTGTTTCGTACTTGCTGGGATTGGAGCTTGGAGAGTGGAAAAGCAGAGAAGCAGAAAAGCAGAAAAGCCAAGTGGAAAATCAGTGGCGCAGAAAGCCGAAGAATGTAGCGGACGCAGGCAGAGAAAAGGGTTTATTAAATGATTAAAAACGTTCATAAAAAAGGCGAATGTGTGTGGTTTGCCACAAAGACTTGTAGTATTACTATGCTGGTAATTGAAATAAGTACATTTAATACCTGGCCTGCATCAGTTATACATATTTTTTCCAGTGCTTTTAAATGGCGTGCGTGGCTGCAGAGAAAAAGAAGCAAAAATAACACTGCCATTATTTGATATAAAGCAGATAATCGCCAGCATAATGGCGCTTTTGTTATTGTTTTTCTATCGCCAAAAACGCTTAGCGCATTTTCGCATTTTCGTATTTTCGCGAAAATTCAGCAATGAATGGGACGAGGGCACAATGTGTTTTCAGTATTAACTGCAACAAGTGCCAAGGGGAATGAAACGAAAACACATGTTCTATATTCGCCGCAAGTCCCATTGTCGAATGCCAATTTCCTCGAATGTTTCTAATAAATCCGTGTAATGCAAACACCAGAAGCGGTGGGAACGAAGCAAACAGTGAAGGGTCTAAAAATAAAGGCAGAACAAACATATTATAAACAATAAAGTGAAGTCGTAAATAGTGTGGCGCTCCTCATCGGCAAACTAGTCTTACGTCATCGCATTTCCTTCCCTGTCGCAACCCAAAAAACCATGACGTCAATAGGAGCCAACAAATAGCAGAAGAATGGAATAGTTGGAGTCGCGCTCAGCTAAATGGATAACAAGTGTTCACATCTCTGACACGAGCTACTGGCGCCGGCGCAGTATCTTTCGCTCGGACTCGTACTGTCGGATACAGATACCTTTGCATCTGAGAATGCCGCTCGCCGCGGAGAGCGAAGATCCCAAAGATGCCATCCGATTCGAATCGATTTGCATGCGAGCAGTTCATTTCATTTCAGTTGAGTTCTGTTTCAGTTCGGTTCGGTTTGGTTCCGTTTTCAAATATTTCGATTTTTTTCATTTACATTATTTGCTCAAGCAAATACACATTTAAGCTATTATAAACAATTGAAGTTGGAAATATTTAAGCGATTATCATTTTCTTAACTTCCTGCGGATTGTGTGCCTTTGTGAGTGGCCAGTTTTTCCCAACGTTTCATATTTTCCCCCAAAAGAAAATTGTACAAACTCTATAAATAGAATACGACGGGGACGGTTGGCTAGCAGGGGGATTAAGATCTTTCATGGCTGCCCCGATACACAAATTGCTCTCATCTCAACCTCATCCCATTTCGGAGATACTCTCGCCAGATGAGAAACACCCACTAAAAGACTCTATTCCCGCAGAACGATAACGACGATGACGACGATCTGTGGGATTAACGCGGCCTGGAACTGAACGATGGATCTAGCAGATCAAATCGATGACTATATCTGTTCGTTCGAGGGACTTGGTGACTTAACAATGGACTCCCTGGCCATCTTCATTTTCCTGTGGGCCGTGCTGGCCCTCTTCTCCGTGTGGCTCATCAAGCTGCTCTACCACAAGTATCTCAACAAGGACAAGGCGGCCAGTGCGGCCAACAGTCGCCAGACGAGCGTGGCCCCCACATCCGGATCACCCTCGTCCGGCGCCGGCAAGACGGAGAAGCGTCTCTCGGAGCCGCGCGACCTGCTGGCCACCAAGAGCAAGGTGGAAAGCCTGGACCTATCCAAGCCTCTGACCGGCGCATCCGCAGGTCGAGGACGCTCATCGGCCTCGCCCTTGAACACCGGTGGTGCAGCCGCCGGCGGTCCACGTCGTCGGGTGGTGCGCCAGAGTTCCACTGGGCCAGAGAATCGCAAGAAGCGATACGTCCCACCGCCGTCGAATGTCGTGGGTCCAGAAACGGTAAGAATATACAATATTAATAACCATATATAGATACATAAGCGACTTGGAACTTAGAACTGCAGACTGCATTAAGGAAGTAATTTAGATACTTTAATGTTTATACTTTTGAACCCCCATTTAAGCCAGTCAACTGATCGGTTTGCCTTTATTCTTCAGAGCTCCGTCACCTGGACCAGCCAGGTGTTCCGCTGGCTTTATAGCGACCTGGTCATCGTCAACGAGCTGCTCATGTCCTGGGTAATTGCCATCAACGACACGCTGCGCAAGTCTGTGGAGGAGGTGAGTCTCGGTCGGAGGATGGCTAAATGACATCATGCGGCCAGCAGCTTTGACATCATACATGCTCCGGGCCCTGATGTCATGGCTGAGCCCGACTTGGTCTTTATTGGCCGGGCATTAACCTTTGTTCTTGGCCCGCCACGACATTCAACTTGAAATCGATGTTCAGCTGCTTGGCCCCAGCGCTTTTCCCCTCCTCCAGCCAACTGGCGAACTGGGAACTCGCTCAGCCGTAACTGATGTCAAAACGCGTTTTGTTTTCAGTTTTCTATACCGTGTAGTATTTAGCTCGACGAGCTTATAGTGTTCGTTTACAAAATTGCCACAGGAAACCGGAATGCCGAAATCTGAGACCTAAATAAGCTTGTATATGATTTTAAAAAGTGTTAAAAGAAGGCTAACTTGAGTAGGTCATCTATGGGACTTAATTTGAATACTAACTAGTTGATTTATTGATATTCATATGGTTTTTGCTATTCGTCACCATTCCAGTAAATTAACGTGAATATGGAAAGCCTTTTTTCGGCTAGAGGGTATCAAAAATGGAAATACACGGTTCAGCCTCGCTTGCTTTCCTCCGATTCGCTTTTTTATCGCCTTTTACGTGATCGGAGCCAGTCGTAGGCCAAGGTCGGAATTCAGTCGTTAGTCATTATCCCGTCTCTGAATTATAGCCCCGAAAACGCTGCTGAATTACGTAATTCGCGAATAAAACATCCAGCGACGGCAAGGAGCCCATCTGTTTCATTGTATACAAGTGTTTCATATCGTATAAACGTATATTCCTTTCCTCTTGCAGCATGGAGTGGCCGTTGAAGTGGTGCGAGTGCTCCCCGACAGTCCTGCGCCCGGATTGAATAATATATTCTGTAATTGCGATGAAAACAATCCCGCTGATATGGTAATTAAGTCAATGGTTTGAAATGGCGTCCTTAATCACTTGAGAACCCCTCAAATCAACACAGCTCATCACCTTTGACTGCGACGCAATGCCGGTGCTGCAGGTGAAGACCTTCCGCCAGAAGTCGGGCAAGGTGGAGACCTCCCACTACAAGGTCACCGTGTCCAGGTTCCGCGCCCGCATGGCCATTCCCATGAACTACAACAGCCTCAAGGGTGAGATGCGAGTCGAGGGCTATCCGGATGTGAGTAACTCTTGAAACTAACTCATGGCACTGATTAAAGTTAGATTAGCTTGTGTGTTTCTTGCGCTGCTATTTTGGCACAATTTTAAGCCACTAATAACCGAAATTCTTATCCTATTACACAGGTTCGCATTGCGATGAACAGTGTGGGTGCCATCAAGGCAATGGATCAGGACGAGCAGCAGCTGCAGACGGTGATCAGCGACATCCTGACGACGGCCCTGCGCGACACCGTCTATCCGGTGGACTTCTCCATCTACTCCACCTGTCCGCGGGCCGAGGTGGAGCCCCTGGACCTGCCCGTAATCTATCCGGTTCACTATGACTCGCTGGCGGTGAGCGTCGGGAGCAGTGAGAAGATGCCAGCTCCCGTATTCGTGGCAGTGTTGTGTTCATTGTTCTCTGTACTCCTGTGTCCTAGTACACTTGTCATCGCACACAGCACTCGACTCGAGACTATCTGTACAGTGTTGTCATCCAACGAAACAAACAGACACTTCTCATTGCTCTCGTCCTCCCCTGTGTTTATGGAATTCGCCTTTTCGATATACATATATCTTTCAGCCCATCGCTCGTGTTTCCGTTGAGAGTTCGTTTTGTTACCCCTTATGATCCCTGATGATCGCGGAAAGTAAAAAGAACTATCTTTGCGCTCTCTCTTTTCAGGGCAACCAATACTTTCAATATTATTACAATTACTAGAGTCTGTCACGCATTAGTTCCTTATTAAAGGCGAATTTCATAAGCCCCTAATTCCGTCTTTTTATCGCCTCCCCGTGACTTCTTTCTATTCTCTGTCTCTCACTGCACTCACTCATCGCATGTTGTCCTCCTACAATTCACACAGCACAACATGGAGCACCACTTGGGCGGCGTGGGATTGAGGGACTCCCAACACATGGTTTCCGGCCGTCGGCTGCTGGTGAAGATCGTCAAGGGCGATGGAATCAGGGATGCCCAGAATCCCTATGTGGTCATTGAGATGGACGAGCCGGCCCAGAAGAACCAGACGGGCACTCAGCGTGGCAGCAAACCCTTCTGGGATGAGCACTTCCTCTTGTAAGTGGTCTCTGATGTCGAATTGGTCACCAATAACCAGGCCTTTATTTCAATTGCAGTGAACTCTCCCCTCAATCAGCCGAGATCCTGTTCGAGGTGTATGACCATCCGGTGATTGCCTCAGATCCGCCCAAGTTCCTGGGCCTCGGCCTGGTTGGCATCGATGAGCTGGCCGTTGGACCCGCATCCACTCAGCAGCTGCAGCTGCAACCACGCCCCTATGAGACGCAGCCCGTTTCGGGAGCCATCACCGTGGACTTTGTGTTCATCGAGGGTGCCGAAATCCCGGCGGGCACCCGTCCACAGCGTCTCAAGGAGGCACTGCGTCTCAGCACGCCGGCCATTAACGAACACATCCGGAATGGAGCGGATCTGGCGGATGCAGCCGTAAAAGCTCTGCAGGATGGAGCGCTCTCGAGCAGCGGAAGTGGCGGACAACCCAGCAAGAGCACTTTGATCATCCACAGCGTGCAGCGGGTGAGTTTACGAGTGTGTGGCAAAAATGGGTTCACGGTTATCGAGGATACATATCTCTGGACAATATTCAATTTTGTTTTCCTGGGTTTCATACATTTCGTGCCCTCCTTTTCCGCATTCTACGATTTTATAATTTCCTTTTGCGTTTCTTTAATTTTATTTCATTTCATTTCCGCCTCCGATCCCGCCCAGAATTCGAGCAGCCCGAATGCATTTAAGGTAAACACCCAGACCTGGTCATCATTTCTTCAATCGTTCTTTTGAGTTATCTGAGTTACTGCGTCTCTAATCCCGCCCTCATGATGGTTTACAAGTCATGTAGGCTAGTAGTATTTAAGCCAAGCTAATGTCAAAATGTTTCTCGTTCTGTTTGCTCTGCCTAACCCCCAAATTGCGCTTCTCTAACCAAATCCTCGAACCGATCAGGTTGAGTTGAACAGAGATGGCCAAATCGAGGTGACCGAAACGGCGACGGAGTTGGATCAGGCAGTGGCCCAGGCCTTTGAGCGGGCAGCCAACGAGGCGCAAACCGAGCTCGAGCTGGAGCTGGCCAAGGAGGAGAAGGTCAGCCAGTTGGGCGAGGCCCTCATCGATTCAGGTAACGGCACCGTCAACGAGGACAGCACCGCGGAGGTAAGTACACTGAGTTCAAGAAGTTCACCTTCACCGGCATGGCATGCAGTTTGAGTTTAGAGCTGGAGAGGATTAGCCCTTAATAACCGTTGAATCACTTGCAGTTTGGCCAGCCCAATGCCGCCTCATCGCCCAATGGCAGCAGTTACCACAACAACTACAGCCTCAATGGCAACGGCAACTCCCATGGCGCCGCATCGGGCGGATACAACAGTCTGCCACGAAACGGTGGTGCCCAGCAGCTGGCACAGCACTCCGGTTTGTTGGAGGGCCATGACTTGGTCGACGATCGCGGGCGCAGCAAAAAACGTAATTTCTTTGGCACCCTGAAGAAGCGGCTCAGCCGCTCCAAGACACGCACCCTCTCGGCCGATCAACCTAATAATAACAGTCATAAGTCACTATCAGCCACCAACTCGAATACAACAACAGCCACCGGATACCCTCGAACAGCCACCGGAACCCTCAATGGTGATTCTTCCCGTTCATTATCTGTCGATCGTGGCACTCTGTCCAAAAGCAATTCACTTGGTAATTACCATCCAGTCACAGTCCTCCGCCAGTGTCCACGTTTTAACCATTTGAGCTCGGCTTAGCGCACATTTTTTGGACTACTGCATTCTGCTAATAACTCTGCGAAGGAATATCATATTTCAAAATCAGCCCATATCAACATTAATTATTAACTATTAACTGCTTATGGCACTGCAAAATTTTGTGTTTCTAATACCTATATTAAGTTTTTAATCATTTTGGCTCTCTTTTCATATGTCAATTTCTTCGCTTGCTTATACAATGCGTAATTCGGACTTCAGCCTTAATAGTATTTACCAATCATGAGTCAAATCATCATCTTCCATACATCATAGCTCATGAATAACATTAATACTAAGTGTAAATTGCTTTTCTCCCTTAATCTTTAAGTACCCCAGATTTTGTACCATTCAACGCTTATATTAACTATATGGTTATCTGTATCTGTATTTGTATCTACATCTGTTGTCTGTCTTATCTTCTCTCCCCTAACACAATACCCATCAACTGCTAACCGAACTGTGATCCACAACACGAATCTGTATGTATTCCATGGTTCCGACACACGCACATGAAACACTTATTTCCTTAAACACACAAAACGGTTGAATATTTTGTAAATATTTGGGTTTATTTTTGGATTTTGGCTATTGATTTCTCCTTTATATAATCTTTAATTCGACTTGGTTTTGATTATTTCTCACACTCCTCTCCTATTATTTTCTTTTGTTTATTTTCATATGTGCAAAATATGATTTGATGGGTCCTAACGGGTGCTTGGTTTGTGTGCCACTCTCAACGTGCCGCATAAAAATTAAAAAACAAAAAACAAACACACACTAAAATTAATAAAACGCAGGACCACGCATGGGCATTGGTCACTCCATCACCGACCACTCACGACGCTCCTCAATTTCAGAATCCTCGGCCATCTCAGGCTTCTCCTCGGCCAGCAATAAAACCTATGTGCACGAGGCCTCCACCCTGGTGCTGGAGACCATCGAGAATGGCATAAAGCGGTGAGTTTCGATCGACTGTTCGCCTTCCTCAGCCTCTGACGAGCCCGTTCCTTGTGCATCCCCTTTAGCCACTTCATTGTGCCTTTGGCCATCGCCCAGAGACCGCGCTGGCGTCGCAAGGGCACCAAGCTGCACATCTACAACGACCACACCTTCATCGCCAAGCATTTGAGCGGGTAAGCTTCAGGCAGTCCACATAGGTTATTTGGTATATGTATATGCACATATGTAACTAACGCACCCTTGGCATTCCAGAAGCGGCCTGCAGTGCTCCATCTGCATGAAGTCCATACCACGGAGGCCCGGAAAGCAGGGCTACGAGTGCCGCGACTGCCAGCTGATTTGTCACAAGCAGTGCCACATACGGGCACCCCAAGCATGTCCCAATCCCACGGTGCTCTCCATGGAACTGTAAGTGCATCTGAGTCCCCGCCAGCTCTTGTCCCTGTCCTCTACCCGACTCCACCCCGGATATTTGAGGGAACTACGAACTCCTAACCAATACCCAATACTAATTTATTAATTTCGTTTTATTTTTCTCTTTTCACACACAACACACAACACACAATACGCACGCACACACCCACCCAAAAAACCAAAACCAAACAGAACGTCATTTCCGGTACTCACAGAGAGAGATATAAACCTAGTTAACTAAATCCTTATTTTGTGACCAATCCAACCATCTGAATACTATTCTTTTGTAAAAACCTTGAGTCCGCCAAATGCAGTTGGATATTTACCAAGAGCAATTTTTGATTTACTCATTCCTCCCGATTGGCGTCAGAAATGAAAATTTCTGCCTCGTTTTCCGGCTTTCGCTACCATCCCACAACATCCCAGTACCACAGTCACCTCGCTTGGCCGCGCTGTTTCATTATGTGTATAAACCTTCTGGGCACTAATTTGAGCTCTTTTTCTCATCGCACCCCACACCAAATACCAAAAACCATCACCGACCAACCCACCACATGGACACAGGATGGCCAGTGAGGAGTAGAAGGTCTCAGCCACATCACAGCATCTTTAGCCAGTTAAATACCATTCTTAAATGCTCCCCGAGCGATGTGCGAGTTCATTCTGACGCCATTAATTTCAAAAGAACATACACAATCCCCTTCGATTTCTTCGATTTGAACGCAAACAAAAAAGATACAGACAAGAAAATGAAATGAAAACTAAAACTCCAGGGTTCTAGATCCCTGCCGCTGCAGTTTTGAGAGGTTCGCGCATTTTCCAGTTGACCCTTTGGCCACTGGAAAATCGGGGTAAGCTGCAACGCATTCGCATGAAGTTCCTTGTTCTGCTCCACTGTGTTGTGTACTAAATTAACACTCTCGTTCGGTTATGATCGCACTACGATCCATACTTACACTTGTGCAATTGCTGCTGCAATTACTCCTAATGAAGGCTGTTCAGTTTATTCGTTCAGATTCGGCCTAATACTGTTTGAAGCTTGTTTTCCCATTGTTTACCACTGCTTGCAACTGCCTAGACAAATCTAACGTTCGTTTTTCTCTTATTTTCGCAGAACTAAACTTAATTCAGCGGCGGCAGACCGCAGCATACGGAAGCTGTGAATTTGGGGAATACCCTGGGATCCATCCAGCCCAAACCGAGAAACCTTAATCGAATAATACCCTAGTTACATAGAATTGAAGGAGCTGTGCAAACCATCTTCTTCAGCTTGGAAACCCTCGATACATTACGTTATTTATTTATACACTCACGCGAACGCAACACACATGTGCAATAAGTTCTTTGGATTCGTTTTTAACCCATTTCTCCGTGTCAATGTGCTCGAGCCCTTTGATATTTTGTATTTTCTACAAACACGAATAATAATTGTACAAAATAAAAGTGAATTAGGGTTTTTTAAATTAAACAACAAATGCGGTGAATCAATAAAGTTGTGATCACTAATAATAGCGGTTATCAAAGTAGCATTCTTTCTATTTGTTGAAAAGCAGATGACATGGTAGTTTGCGTAAAGATATTAATTGCTGTGTGTTTAACTTTTGATTCATTAATACGCATAATAATCATCTAAATCCGTAGAATGTATTGGTATTTTTCGGATTCATGTGGATTTAATAGTTGAACCCTTTGAATTTTGAATATCCATCCGCAATTTGAAAATTCCCCAGTCTGGCAACGCCCTGCCAAACTAGTATCGATATCTTCAACATCGATATCGATATATCGATATCGTAACAACAGCCCGACAGAGTTGCCACCACCGAACGACCAGCGCTGCTATCGATAGGCCCATCGGCAAAGTGCCATCGCTAGCGAGGGGTGAGAGGAACAACAACATTTGTGGGCTGCGCGTTGACGAAGTGCATGTGAAATTTTTCGTGTTCGTAGGACAATTGTTAATTATCCACTGGCCGAATGCGCCCCGCAATCACGTGTCGGTGTAATATGTGAACGGTTTGTGGTGCTCACCTTGCGCGTAACGAAAATCGGAATAAAATTGTTAAAAAATAAACGTAGTATTTACACCAGCAACAACAACACGAACGGGCGACAAAGCGACACGCCTCGCGTTGTTGTTTTTGTTGTCGCGCGTTTTTTATTCGGCAGCACAGCAACTATTTATTTATTTAGGCAATTTCGCCTGCAAAAACAAAAGTGCTCTTCATAAATTCTAATAAAAAGTAATTAAAGTGCAAATGCATTGAGAAGCAAGGAAGAGCAGAGGAGAAGATAAAGAATAAATGCTGAGGAAGAGAGAGAGCGAACAAGAGAGGGGATTACAAAAACGAGACGTCGTTCACTTGCCCTCTCGCTCCCACCCCCGCGCTTTCTCCACCTCCTTCTCCACCCTTCCCCTAATCAAATTTGTTGTTGCTGCTTTATTTGCTGATTTTTGTTTTCATCGCTCTCTTTTTTTTTAGTCTGCGTCATAAATCGCGATTCTCTAGTTTCGCGAGTGTTTCTCCACAATTCTCTGATCAGAATCTGATTCAAATGAAATTTATGCTTATGTTTAAATATAATATGCAAAAGTCCAGTTAACCTTACGTAATTGTGTGTATTTCAAAGCGACCAAAATGCATCTCGATCCAAAAAAGTATCTAAATTTTGCCTGCTACGTGTGCTAATAAGTCAAACAAAAACGAAAAAAGAAGCGGCGTTAAGAGTAAGAGTGCCAATCAAAGATTAAGAGTATACCAATCGAGTAAGGAGAGATCCAGCACAAGGACTCGATCGCCTCGAACCGAAACCGAAAGCGGAAGCGGATACGGCAACGGCAAACGGATACGGAAGCTGCCAAGATGGCCGCCGCCCACAGCCACCACAATGCCAATATGCTCAGCTCGGACATCTCTCGCCGAAATCCGCAGGACGAGTACGAACTCATCCAAAAAATTGGCTCGGGAACCTACGGCGACGTCTATAAGGTGAGTTGGAATAATAGCCTTTAGGTCTCCTTAAAAATTGGAAAATTATTAGAAAAGTAAAGGGAACGGAAGGCAAGGAAAATGCAAAGTGTGTTCTTCGGATTTGGAATGTTTCCCCAAAATCCGCAAGTTTTTAGAGTTTCCTTTACTGCAATCTTGCATTCCGTCTGCACAGGAAAAAATTATACAACAGTTCGCAAATTCGAACACAAGAAGTCTTTTGTTCAATACAGACACATCACATCATCTAGCGATACATCTTCATTGGATCGCAAACCCAAGGAATAAAGTTCTTATTGGATAATTGTTGGACAATAAATTCAATTTTGTGAACATTATGTGTAATTTCTAGACAGTTCTAGACATCTTTGCATTTATAGTTTAGTCACATTTCTCAATATAGAGTAACATTAATGCCCGCCAAGCCACATAAGTAATAAAATGTTTCTTGCGTTAGAATGTAGAACGCATTAAATCATAAATGAGGAATGTTTTTTGCTCCAGTGCAAGATTGCAAGTGCCCCCTTGATCTCCCCACCGCAGACCCTCCACTGCAGACCCTCATTTGTACATCTGTTTGCCACAGCATGCTCCTCATTCCTTCCCCTCCCACACCCCTTTCAGCACCCCTCCGAACAAAAATATGCGGAATTTTAGTTTTCCATCTCCTCTGTTGGATCGTTCTTTTTATACCATGCAACTTCCATGTTTACTTTTGCTGCCCGTCGAAGGGAAGTATGACAAATGCCCCGAAACGCCAGAGAAGTTGCCCTTGGGCGGGGGGCGTGGCACAATGCAATTGTTGTTTCCAGGAGCGGGATTATATGGGAATATATGTATGTAGGTACATAGGCAGACCAAGGGTTAAGTTCCTCACTTTCCATATGGAATGCCTTTGCATTCGAGGGATTTCCCCAATTGGATTTATTGCGTTCTAGTTGGCCACTGAAATCTATAAATCATCAGCTTTTCGAACGCTTTCCATTCGATTAATTTTGACGAAATTTCTCATAAAAGACGGGAATTTAATTATTTCGTGCATTTTTGATATTGGAAACTAAGTTATTGCGTAATTATTGTAATTGGAAACGAAATTGATTGTACTTCAACTAAATCTTGTATACACGAATTATCTGAGATGCAATAAAGGTATTTTGATTGAATGGGCGAGCATAGATATGTGGAATTTATATAAAATATAGCTCTTCATTTGTAGAAAATAAGACAGAATCGGTCATTAATTTGATTTCGCATATTGATTACTTTGTTTGACAGCGACGAATGATATCAATGAAACCAGTCTATAATGTACACCACAATTCTGCATGAATGGTTCATTTTTGACTTGTTTAATTTGAATGCTTTGGTTTCAAATAATATGTGCAGTTTTAGGTTTGACTTATTTTAATTGTTGTTCGTGTTTTTGTGACGCAATATTGGCTCAAACTCAGCCATTTAGAACCTAAAGCCGTAAGCCTGTTGAGATTAGGCTCATTCTTGCTCATTGGCTGATATTGGACTTGATTCATTTTGCCTCACTTCAATTTATTCGATAAGCAGACACGCGCTTGCATTGATTATGGGGATTAGTTTCGAATGTGTTATTTATTTATTTATTTATGTTTGCCCACATCTGGTTTTGTGGGCCCTCTACTCATTTTGCCATCTGATTGTGTCTCGGTTTTTGTTCTTTAGAGTCTGGTCCGTTCTGCTTTCGGTATCTTTTCTCCATGTTCCATCCATAAGATGCGTCATCCATGAGCCCAAAGCCCATGGTTTCGGTTTCAATCCGCCATTCAATTTCCACTCTTTCGTGCTGTAGCTCCCCCGACTTTTTACTTCGGTTTTTATTTATTTTCACATCGAGGTATTTGGTTGCCAGGGGAATTTATGATGCCACACATCTAGAATCGAGGCGATGGCATTTCGATTCAATTTACACAAGCGACAAGTTCAATTGGTTTCTGGTATAACTTCCAACGTTTCAGTTCGGTTTTCCGCATTGTTTACACTAAGTTTGGGCTAAACCATAATTATACATCGAGCAATCAGCTTTTCCCCTCTTTTTCGCAACTCGTTTCGCGATATCAATTTACAATAGAAATAATATCAACGAAATGAACAGCAATACGCCCTGTTGACAGGCTATTAGGAATGGAATTGGGTTTCCACTGCTCCAAATTGTTTCCTCCACCTCCCCCATATGCTCCCCCCTCCATCCACTCGCTCATTGATTCATATTAGTGGCACAATAATCCAAAAATGTAGTGCAACACCGCAAATAAATGTTCAGCTGGAGAAAATGGATGGAGCTTTAAAAATTCATGTGATTCAGTTTCGTGACCTTTGAACCGATTCATATGCAAATTTGGGTATTCAATTTAACGAAGGGAGATGACAAAATATGTTTTCGTTTTTTGTGAGTTTTAAAGATTTAAGTTGACTCATTTTTAATATTACGTGCTTGTTTCAAGATTATTTTTAATAAAGTGTAATTAGTCACATCCATCGTGATTTCACCTAAATTCAATCGTCTCGAGAAATACTTGGAATAAGTTTGTATATTTTATTTGTATTTATTGTATGCATGTTTTTATATGCTATACAAAAAGTTGTTGCAATGTTTTTAATTTCCATTCCCGTGGAGGAAAACTCCTAGGAGTATAAATGGCACCTGTCACGGCGGGAGGGAAAAACTAAGGATAGGAAAAACTTTAGTTTAAGGGGAAGGTGCCGCTGTTGCACGGGGTTTTCATTACCGGAAATTCGAGAGCGAGGCGCAAGTGAGTAAAAGAAAATAACAGAAATATGAAAATAGTGAACTCTGGGCTTTTCACGCAGCACAAAAGGAGAAGTGCCAGGTTACCTAGCGTTATGCAATGAAAACTGGCACAAATACTAGTGCATAGACGCATACATATTTTATGCGTGTGCCTTCGTAACTCTCTGTGTGTGTGTGTGTGTGTGTGATTGCCTTTGCCAGGCACTTGACTTCGCCATCCATTGTAGTTGTTGTTGCCACACTTTAACAATCATCCTCGTCATTGTTGTTGCTGGCTCTTTATTTTGTTTCTCCCCTGTTGTTATTGTTGTGCACGCAACACGCATGAAAACATGAAAAAATTGGCGCAAAGCTCTCATCTAGAGTGGGTGGTGTTTTTTTTTATTTTTTGGTTGGAGGAGGGATGTAGGAAGGTTTTGAGAAAATTACTAGAGAAAAGAACGAAGTGGAGTGAATTTGTAGCAGCAAAGTGATGGGGCAAGGGGCGTGGCAAGGGGTGGTGGCGGAGGGCGGTGGGCGCTTAAGGAGGTCACGTCGCCAACGCATGTGTGTGTGCGAGGGTGAGTGGGCGTGGCCCAATGCGTTTTGTCTGTCTGACAGTGTGTGTTTATGTTTGCTGATTTGCTGCTTGTTTGGTTTCGGTTTTCACACAAATTGCAATTGCAATTGCAGTTTGCTCTGCTGCTAAACATAAAGCTCAGTTCCATAACCCCTCCCATCACCCCACTCCTTCTGTTTGCCGAAAATGTTGTCATTGTTTCTGCTAAAACTCTTTGAAATTCCAGAATTCTGTGCCACGCAAAAACCAAACTCACAGCCAAATCATTTGCGCTAAAAGTCCAACAATTTTGTCGGTCCAGACCACGAAGCAAAAAGTGGGGGAAAAGCAAAGAAACGATGAAAAAGTGCAGGGCTAAAGGAAACCAAGACTAGCCGAAAAATGTTTGCCTTGAACTAGGCGACGGGTAAAAACAATGCCGAAAACAACAGCCAAGGAAAATAGAAAATGTCAAAGGGTTCACCCCGCGATTCGCATCGGCTGCAGCTACAGTCAAAGCAAATGCCCAGAGATCCTCTGGATTCTGGTGGCTCCTGGGGGGGGTAATATGCAAATGGATCTTGACACGCCCACCGCGAAATGGGCGGAAGGCAAACAGCCAAACAGGCAAACAGGCAAGCCAGCAAAACAGCAGGGAGACACTTTCAACGCCTTCGCCGCATTTAAATGTTAAATGGCGAAACGCACAGAACGCAGAACTTTTCCTAGAACAGGAAAAACAAATCTACACTGAAGGAATATTAAATGAATGGCAAAAATGTAGTATTTTTTAATCAATTAAATCACGATAAGAAACTCTTTTCAGTTGTTTTTAGATTGGTACTTTTAGATTAGATACTTGTGCTGTAATCAACCGGGAACTTTTTCCAATTGTTAAGCTGTTTCTCCCAGTGTGGGCATGTAGACAAAGTTGGGTGGCGATGGCAACCCTTAATTTAGCAACAACAAAGCGCCATAACAAAACAAGTGACGATTGGGTTGTTAGCGGGGGCTGCGGAATGGGAAAGTCAGGCGGTGCAAAGGGTCGCCATGTTGACCCAATTCCGCCGTGGCAATAATTTGCACGTCTTCTACGGACTGCCAAGGGGGCGGGAAAGGAGGAAGGGAGAAGGAGGACTATGGGGATAAGCGGAAAAGCGGGCAGCATTGCTGGGAAATGTTGTGGGTGAAAAATGAGTAACGCTGGGGGTATTTAGAAGGGCAGTTTCAATGCAACGCAATGCTGTGTAGGCTTGCGGCTGCATTCTATCACAGTCCAACAATTCTCCCTCTCTCTCTTTAACCCTTCTGCAGCTATTATTACACCACCCGCCCGCCCCTTGAGCAAAAGCAAATATTGCAACAACAATTGGTCGATGTTGGCCAGGGAAATCGAGTTAACAACGGATACTATAGCAGAATGTATCCCATGTTCGCTCATTAGCCTGTTCACTGACTTGCGGACATAAGCAGATATTGATGACCACACCGAGAACAAATGGAGCCGTAAATATGGGGTATTATAAAATCATTATCGTGCATTATTAATTCGTACTGATAGTTTAGACAAACGATTAATAAAACACACATTGAAATCTCACTAGATAAAGCTTGTTTAATGCTACAATACTTATAACAATAGTTATAGTTATAAATTTATTTTTGTCGAGTTAAGAACAG